TAAATTTTAATGTAGTAATGATTAATGTCGATTAAAAATATATGTAGCTGTCTCTGTTAGGGAAAAAATTGAATGTGCCATTACGACAATATTTTCATAGTGTTTTTATTTTTTAAATTTTGAATTTGTACAAAATGGCAAAAACAAAGCAGTTAAGAATTGAGGTGAGTTCAAAAATTGAAATTTCTCAAATATAAATTGCCAAGAAGATTACTCTCAAAGAGAAGTTGCCAAGAAGACTGCTTTCAAAGACAAAATACCAAAGTGTTGAAAATTTCTAGATATGAGGTGCAATATTAATTACAAATCATTTAAAAACTGACACAAATTTTGACAGAAAAAGAGCTGAAGCAACAAAAGTGACAACTGCTGTTAAAGATAAACACTTTATTATTGAGCACAAAAGAAACAGAAAGTAAACCGCGCCAAAGTTGACAGCTAAACTTAAAAACGGCAACCAGTGTTGCTCTCAATTGAAAAATCGGCATAAATCAAAGATGGAAGATGAATAAGCAGAAGAAACTGTAACAAGCAAAAAACGCAAAATAACTTAAACACTGAAAAAGTGGCAAAATGCATTGTGAAAAGGTGAGTTTAAATTGAAAATTTTGGATAATAAGAGGAGAGTGAATATGAAAAGAAAACCAAAAGGAGCGAATGATGAATGTGTAATTCCATTAGTTAAGCGTGGTGCAATGTCTGTTATGGTATGGGGAAGTTTTCAGTGACAGATGGCGAGAGATTTCATTCAGCTCAAGGGAATCATGAAAAAAAAAACAATATCATTTAATGTTGCAAAAATATGCTATGCCATCTGGTTTAAGCATAAGTGAAAAAAATTCAACTTTTAAAAAAGTAATGATCCAAAACACGTTTTAAAATTTTGACAAAATTACCTCCAGACAAAATGAAAGAGCAAACATTTTGGAAATTGTGACGTGGACGTCTCAATCTGCTGACCACTTTCTCATTGAATTGATATATGAATTGAATAAGAGATTTCGAAAAGAATACCCAAAGAGTGAGAGTGAGCTTTTTCAGTGTTTGAAGAAAGTTTGCTATTTATTTATTTTAAAAAAATTGTTGGAAAGAACGCAAGAATTTGTAAAGCGGTAATTCAGGCAGGTGGCAGTTTTATTGACGAAACAAAATACTTTGCTTACATCATTCGGGCTGTTACCGTCATCTTCATTGCCATATTCACACTTCTTCAAGTTGTCAAAGTTATTACCCTTTAACACAACTCTTCAAGTGTTGGTTCACCAATGCCGCGGCCTGATATTGAACTCATAACTCTTTGTATATAGTCAATAGATTATAACCAACGACTTTATCCACTAGACCATGTAACCTTTAGGACTCCTACTTCTGAAGTTTTCGGACTTATAAACCTAATGTTCAGCATCATTTTTTACGAGTGCTCATACTGCAATTTTTCTCTTTTATTATTGCATTATTTACCAGAGCTTATATTGCAATTTTTGCTGTTATTCATTGTTTTTTCTCTAGCACTCTTTATTACTGGTTGTCATATTGTATTCATGTCTATGCTTAGTCGGCTCAACAGATTTTTGTGGCCTAGCATATGTGCTGATTCCTTAAGTTTTCGTTTTTTTTCTTGTGATGCCCTCTGTCTATTATTTCAACCTCATCCCACAAGGGGCGGTGACCACCCTTTTCTCTCCATATGTGGTCAGCTACGCCTGATGTTTCTATTTCCCCTTTTGTTCCCGCTTTCCGATGGTCTTCCAGTCTTACATTAAGGGCGCGGTCTGTTTTTCCTTTGTATTTCTTATCACAGCTACACGGGATGGAGTACACACAGTCTTTAGTCATGTTCTCTTCTATGGTGGGGGTCTTACTCGGAACAGGTGTCTGTAAAGCGTTGAACCACTTTTGACGGTATTCCTGATGTTATATGGATCACAGATCCTTTGTATTTTCTCCGATAATCCCTTCACATAGGTTAGACAGACTGTTTTCTGACTGCCGTTATCGTCTTGTACCCTTTTATCCAAGCTTATTGGTAACAGCTACCATCAATAGTTGATAATTCACGTCGATAAAATAAAATAAAATTAATAATTTTTAATAAATAATTATCTTTTATGGTCATATAGTAATACCGGTTATATTGCTTGATTTAATGTCGCGAGAAATATATTTAATTTTTAAAATAAGCGTTCGAAAAAAAACCAAAAAAACTATATCCCAATATAGATAATGCTTAACCACAACAGTAGTACTCATTCAGCACCTGAAGATTGCGTTTGGCATGAAACTCCGAATTGTGCGAACACTGTGGGATAATATGCATATTTATTAATATATATACTTTATAGCTCTGTTATATGACATCGAGCACTGTTTCAATAACACCAGCACTTTATGTGCAATTCACACACACACACACACACACACACACACACACACACACACACACACACACACACACATATATATATATATATATATATATATATATATATATATTGCTGTA